TAGTCACTGTTGAGATTGCTCTGGCAGCAACTTCCTATTGGAAACTAATGGTAAAAATGCTTAAATATTTCAATATGAACTCTCTGAACTGTTTTTTTAGTTAAAAAAAAAAAAAACAAGTAGAACTCATTGATGAGGGAACATTATTATCATATGATCATATGGATTAATGGCTAGTTATAAAAGGGGAAATACATCTTAACACTGGAAGATCAAGCTGTCAACATCACCATCTCTAAAAGTGGGACAATCAGATATGATGACCCTCGATATGATGTAATATGAAGTTCACACAACATCTATAAAGGATTTTTGTCAGAAAAGATGAACTTGAGTCTAATCAAGTCTTTAATTCTAACTTTATAGGAAATATGGAGAATAGAGAACAAGTAAATGTCTCCTCAACATAAGCTTGCCTCATTTTTATGTATTAAATAATATTTTTATTTATTTTTACTTACTTGAGAATTTCTTTTTATTATCCATGTTCTCTGTGGAATATAAGCTCCAACAGCACAAGGTCTTGTACTGATGAGCCAACACTCCTTTCTCATAGTCTATTATCATGTTTGGAACATACTAGGTTTTCAACACAAGTGTATTAAATGAACAAATGAATGAACAAGTTATTTTAACCTCACTTAACTTGTTTACAAGTTAGGAAGTAATCATCTGTCTTCAGAATTTAGGGCATTCTACAGTAAAATCAACTTTGTTTCTTCAACCAGCACATGGCATGGGAAAAAAAAAAAAGAGAGAGGAGAAATCTGTTCTAGATTAAAAGAATCTGAAGCAACTTAACAGTCAAATGCAAAGTATTGATTATGGGATCCTGATTGAAGCAAACATTAGAAAGGCATTGTTCTGTGATAACTGGGGAAATTTCAGTAGGATTAGGTACTAATTGATGTAAGAAATTACTGCTGATTTTGTTAGGAATAATAATCAGGTTGCAAGTATGTAAGAAAATGTTCTCACATTTTAATTGTTCTCTAGTTTCCACTTTTATTTTAAATTCAGGGGGCACATGTGCAGGTTTGTTACATGGGTATATTGCATGACATTGAGGTTTGGGATATAAATGATCCTATCACGCAGGTAATAAGCATAGTACCCAATAGGTAGTTTTTCAGCCATGTATTTAGGTGTGAAATTTCATGTCATGAAGGATATCTCTTTAAAATACTCAGCACAGACAGATGTGATAGGTGAAGCAAATACAGAAACATGCTGATAATCATTCAATATGATGAAAGATATTTTGGATTCATTTTATTTCTTCCAATTTTGTGTGTGTTGAAATTTTTATAGGAAATAAATTTATTAATACAATAAAAAAAATCTGTGAATTATCCTTTTTTCTCCCTTGTCCCATAGTCCCACATGTGATTCTGTTGACCCTCACCTCCTACATGATTCCTGGATCCTTCCAATTTGCTCCATCTCTGTTGTTGCCATCCTGGCCCCAATCACCATTAGCCCTCTCCCCTGATGTACTGAGCAACCTCTCGATTGGTCCCCTTGCTTTCTCTCCTCTTCCCTTAAATATGTTCTTCACATAGCAACCAAAAACTTAATCAGACAATGTCACTTCCTTCTTAAAATCTTTCAAAGTTTTCACTCTTAGTATAAAATACCTAAAACCTATCTCTGGTTTATAAGATCTGGTCCCTGCCTACTTGTCTGACTTACTTCATCTTCCACCACTTTCCCTGTGTCCACATCATTCCAGCTACACTACCCTAAATTGCATTCCTCCAACATACCAAAGTCTTCCCAGCCTCGGGGACTTTGCTATCATCCTTCCTTCCTGGCTTGATGCTGGCGTGTCTGTACCACTCAGTCATCTACTTAAAGCTATCTCTTCAGATATATCACCCAGTCACATGATCCCAGCACCTCTGTTTAACTCTCTGCTTAGTACCTACCATGATACGATCTATTTTTGTCTTATTTTTATTAATTTTACTTATATGTTTATTTATTTTTACTATCCATCTATTACCATGTTTGGCACATAGTAGGTGTTCAAAACAAATGTGTTAAATGAATAAATAAATGAACAAGTTATTTTAACTCACCAAACTTGTTTCCATGTCTGTAAAATGGAGATGACAACACTTACCATTTACTTCACATACACCATGCATCTGATCCTCACAGTAACAGTATATAATAGGACAGGAATTGTTGCCCTCATTTGGCAGATAAGAAAATGGTGTCACAAAAAGGTCAGGAAGATGATTCTGGTTTGGACTTTCAACTGTACTACACAGTTGATCATACCCAGAAAAAAAATTAGTTTTTATTATTTAGCACTTAAAATGATCCTTGCCCAAGGTCTCAAGCTTCATCATCCTTGCTGACACAGCAGGAGCGTCACCATCTTGGACAAGCACCGCCATTTTAAAGTTCACCTTGATTAAAAACTGCCTACATCCAAAGGGCATCAGCCTAATGTATAAGGTCAGCTTGACCATAAACCACAAATGACATCTCCAACCAGAAACATTCCAATCATAAGATAAACCCCTCCTCAACCAGAGACATTCCAACCATGCAATAAACTTCACTTCCACACAGAAACATTCCAAGCCTGTGATAAATTATCCCACCCAGAACCCCTAATTACTCTTAGTCTGTGAGAGAAAATACTCGACCAAAAAAAAAAAAAAAAAAAATCATCAAGAAGCCCCTCTCAGGTTTATTCTCCAAAATAAACCTGTCTTTGACTGTTGAGCCACTTTTCATGTTTCTTTCCTCTTTCTTTAACTCCTACACTTGCCCCTTCTTTCCACTCTGTATCTGCTTATTCCTGGAGTAGGAAGTGATGGGCCTGCTGAGACTCGGCAGGTTGCCCCTCAGTACTGAGTTCGTGCTCCATGCTCCAAGGGCCCAGCTGAGTCCTGACTATTGGACTGAGCAGTTCTCCTAAGTGAAGCAGGTCTGTTGTGTTTGTGCCGACATGCAGCTTTATAAATACATGAAACCATGTAAAATATGTTCTGTACCTTCTCAGGAAGGGATGTGCTGGAGCAGTTCAATTATCCCACTACGTCAGACAACGCCCATGTGCCCAGTTATAGAATTAACCACTCTCATGCATACACAGTTTCAAAGCTGAGCAGTTAAGTCAACCTCTCTGGCAATTGTATAACTAATAATCTATCTAAACTGCTTTAATCTCTATGGGTAGTGATCCTTTAACTTAACTGGATTTGACAATCACTTATCATGCCACTAATTCTGAAAAGTATTTTCACTCCTAGAGTGCCTTAGCTTTTTGTTGTAATTACAGTCAATAAGGCCTGTGACCAATGAAATATAATCCATTTTTCCAAACAAATCTCATTCTTTGACTCTCTGTATACCTTACGCATCAGCCATGTTGTACCGTTCCCTGTTTCCTAAACATCCTCCTGAGCATTTGATCTTCCAAACCTTTGCTCCCTTAATAATCCAGCACAGAGGTGGCCTATGGTATTTATTTATTCACTTATGTGCACCTACTAGGTCCTAACAGTTTAACATGGCAGGTTTGCTGGGGGAATAATAAAATGAATGCGTATCAAATTTCAAAAAGCATATTTTGTCAAAGGAAAATGAAATATTAATATGTTTCATTTTGTGGATCTCTTCTCCAAGAAAATGTTGCCAGGAGCAGGTAGGGGTAAGTCCAAGGCTGATTCTGTAGTGTCTGCTATTAGGATGTGTCTGCTACAAGTCTCTGCAGTCTTATGATACTTAAGGTATATTCTCCTTAAAATCAGCCACACCAGGTTATGCATTCTATGGAGTATTGAAATATCCTTAAAGTAACTACAGATACAGATATATTTATAGTTGCGATTAGTCCTCCTGACCTCTGCCTTGTAAGTCATTCTTCCTGGCTTCTTTCAATTGAGTCTCACTCGACTGTGGGAACCAGCACTCACCAACAGTCTTTCCCTGGCTTGTAAGTGAATCCTTGTGGGTCTTTTCCTTTAGAAAAGAAAACTGATAGCAAAAACAAACCCAGACCTATTTAAAGCAATGGTTTGATATATTTTTTGATGATGTACAGGTAGTTAAATATTTAGCTTTGGCACATAGAGGATAAAAAATAAGTACAAAATTTCTTCAGATCTGTATACTGAAAGCATAAGAGTTCCTTGTCCTACTAACTACAAAGTCAACAGGATGTGCCAGGCAAAGGGGTGAACACTGTAGCCCAGTCAGGAAGATAGAGCCAAACAGGATAAGAATCATTTTTAGTGCTAAGGTAGATAGAGACAAGAGGCAAGAAACTGGTTGCATCATACTAAGGGTGGATAATACTTTCAAATGTACCTTAGAGTTTAGAAGACTCAAAAGATTGTTTTAGGCAATTTGTTTCTATAGATAGCCACAACCTTGAGAATTTGAAGCCATTTCATTCTATTAAAAAATTCTGTATCAAGAAGGAAAGGAAAATGTAGGTAGTATTAATAACTGTTCATATTTGTTAGGTTATATTGCAACATAAGAATATGCACTAACATTTCTGAAACAAAAATTGAGACATGATTTGACAAGTATAAGTATGTTTATGTAAATAATAAAACACAAAATTTGAAGGTATTATTTACTCTCAGAAAAACTAGGTGTTATGGGGGCCATATCTATATGCAAGATATTTTAAAAATTGTTTGTAAATGCAACATATGCAGTAGGCATTTAGTAATAAGTTGTTGAATTCAATTCAGCTCATCAGTCAGTAAGCAGTTATTGTGCACCCACTGGGATGAAGACGCTATATGCAATTTCACACGAATTTAACAGTTGTGTGGTTTTGACTAATATAAGGGAAGAGTTACTAGAAAATACTTTGACTACATTAAAATCATTTTAAATAGACTTAAATCTTTACTTTTTGTCATCTGTTCTGCTATTTTTATGTTGATAATGTTAGGCAAACCAGAACTACAGGTTAAATTCTTTTAACAAGTATCAAGAATTATATTCCTGGCATGGCATAACATGTTTACATTAGCTTCTTAAAAGTTTTAATTTTTACCTTTCTATTTCTCTTCCATTCTTTCCTCCCCATAGATTCCAAAGCAATTTTCTTAAATACGAATTTTATATTAATCTCCTATTTTAAACTTCCATGACTTCCAAACACCTACAAGTCAAAGTCCATTTTTAAATTCTGGCATACAAGTTTCTTCACACTCTGGCTGCCACTTAAACTTCTTGAAATCATTTTCCTCTATTTCAACCCCTCTCTCCACAAAAACACTATTTTCCAGCTAACTAAAAATCGTAACATTTAAAGATTTTGTAATTAGTTCACAAATTTACCCATACCATAATCTAGAGAGTAGTGAAATATGTAATTTCTTTACTTTGGTTTCTAATACTAGATAGAGGGGAAAAATAAGTTTTAAATTTTAAACTTGGTTCAATCAGTCTTAGGTAACTAAGTCTTGGCTTAGATGACTCCAGTAGACACGTTCATCTTTCAGATATCTGAACATATGGGATCTTATACAACTATCTATCAGATGGACCCTAAATACACTCACATTAACTATCACATGGACACTCAATGCAATTTGTGGTGAATAGCCTATAATCCCAGCATTTTGGGAGGATGAGGCAGGAGGATTCCTTGAGGTCGGGAGTTTGAGACTAGCCTGGGCAGCATGATGAGACCCCCATCCCTACAATTAATAAACATATAAATAAATAAATAAATAAATAAATAAATAAATAAATAAATAAATTGGTGGTGAAAAAGTAAAAGACTAAATTATAGAAAACATGTTTAGTGACCTAAACAAATAAGAATTTGTTTTACATTACCAAAAAAATCCAAAGATAAGCAGCTGTTACTGTTAACTTACCTGCTAAGTGATAACATGAATAAGAAGTTCTTCCTGCTTTTCACATCACATCCTTAATATGTTGTCTTTTCATCCTCATCTTTCTTGTTCCATGGACAAGGGATGTATGCTTCACTCATGAGTTCACATTCAAGGAAAAAGAGTGTCAGGGATGGTCCCAGCCATATACCTTATCAAGACACAAAATTATTACACATAGGACCCCTGCCCGCCACCCAGCAAATTCCACATTATCTTATTGACCAATACTTAGCCAAATATCCACCCTACTCTATAAGGAAGATATATTAATAGAAAGAGAGTATTTGTTTTTTTCAGCCTCCCTACTGGCAAGGAGAAGGAAATTGGCAATGGATGTTGGTGTCTTTCTTGGTGCTCTTTAGGGAGGTGGGAAAAGGGATGCTTAGATCCATATGATGGCCTTGACAGTGCTCTTTGTCTGGCTGACCTTTGCTGACTTCATCAGCCTTTCTGGATGACTTATGCTCCTGTTGACCCTGAACAGGCTTCAGATCCCAGCCACACACTGATATCTGTGTCACCCACTGCCCAGATGGCACAACCTAATGCCTTTACTGTGGAGTTGCTCATTCCCACTACAATAACTGCTCATTTCCACATTACACAGAAATCAAGAATGTTCTAGGAAGGTGCATCTCAACACCTCCTTCTGCCTAATCACATTCTGCTATCATGTTTATTTGTAATATGGATCTACCACTCAATTGATCCGGAGACAGCCTTCAAGTTATCTCCTTTTAGAATAAGACAAAAGCTTCCTGGTTCTTCGAATTCTATATTTTGTCCTGTATCCCAAAGATACTCTCCCCTCACTAGCTCAGCCTTGAGTGTGTTAATGGGGAGGGCAGTGAGGGGACTCTGATATCTCATTTCCTCAACCTCTGTCTCTCTTCTCTATCCTCTCATTCTCAAATGCCCCTCTGTAATCATTCTTTCTTCTTTCCTCCAGGTCACATTCTTCAACTTCCAAATTCCATTCTCACGGCTAAGCTTAAATGCTGGTCGGAGGGTCTCTTCTATACATGTGGTGTTTTAACTATACAGTTGATATATATACATATCACATACACATATACAAGTATGTTTACAACTATACACATATATTAGCAATTATTAAAGAAACAAAAAACTGATATGATAATTTAGTATATTGTATAATTTGATTGTGAAATAGGATGGTCTACTATAATATTAGTATCATATGGTCTACATGTGAAAAAAAGTTTTTCAGAAGTTTTGAACATGAAATTGTACTAAATATTAAAACTATATTAGCCAAGTATAATTTAACTGTGATGATCTAGAAGGCCCTGTAGACTCTTTTCTCATCCAAGATTATCATTATAAATATTAACTGTCATTGTGTGGTATATCTGTGAATACATTGTTTAGTTGATGCTTTAGATTGACGATTGACTGAATTGAAGATAAGTTAACTATACAGTTGTGCACACTTATTTTTGAGTAAATAAGTTTTAATATTAAGGTTAGTTGTCTTTCTCAGGGGACATATCCAACTAAATTGTATTTTTCATTTATACACTCTTACTGCACACTATATTTGTTCTTTGTATCATTAATCATATTGTAGTTGAATAATTGTTTATGTAACTGTTTAATATTAAGCTCTCCTATTCCACTGTAAATGCCACAATTGTAGGGACTTTATATGTCTACTTAAGCATTTATTTCTGTCATCTAAATGCAGTGCCTGGCACTTAGTAGCTATTTGGTATATATACTTTTGGCTGGGTAAATAAGAGGTCAAATAGGTTAAGAAATGAGAAATGTCACTGGAATTTCATAACAAAGAAGTCATTAACAAACATGATGACAGCAATTTCAATGAATTAATGGGAAAAGACATGAGACCACAGGTAAGTAAACACTGCAAAAAAGCACTGCAGAACCAGAAGGAAAACCAAAGCCAAAGTTACTAACTTTATCTCAAAATGACAAAATCCTTGTCTGCTTTGTTATACGTTATTTTAATTAAAAAAATAAATCTAAAGTGTCAGGCAAAAAATTACTAAATTATTTTTATTAAATTGATCATTAACATGTCTCTGAGAATCAACACTCAGAAGACCTTTATAAGTGGCAGGTTCTCTTGTGATATTAACCTCTTTCAGTTTTGCTTGCACACTTGTTTTGAGTTCTCCAGAGTCTGACAGCCAAGAGGGCATACACATAATAGAATAAGGCAATACGTTCAATTTGGTTACTATGAACAAATTGAAGATGTGCCATAGAAACTGTCATATGGATATTTGAATAAAACTCCCATTTAAAATTGGATGAAGATTTTTCTTTCAGGATCCTCTAGGCACATTTTATTTTCTTTCTATCCTGACAGAAAGGACACTCCTTTGCATGTTTCTTCTCTGTCTTTAAAGGTGATTCTATTATTTTAAGTGTCTGTTTTAACCATCATGTGAAGTTAAAGACAAGAATTGAATGACCTTTAGTTTCAGAGCCACAAATATTTCAAAAGAAATAGACCTTTTGAGTTCGGGAAAGGTGTGTCAGATGAACAGGTGTCACTGTAGGTTAATGAGTTGGCTTTCACCACCAGCCACCTGGACTGTAATTTGGGTTGGGTCACACATGTGCATGAAGTTAGCCAATTTAATCCCTGCTCTTTTGGAACTGTCTCCATATTAGAAAGCCATCAAACAAACAGTCCACTCTGAACCTTATCATCAGTCTCCTAAAGAAAGATTGGGACTGAAATGGCAAGAAAATGAAAACCCAGGTCCTTCGGCAGGCAGTTGGCAGGGGCACAGTTTTCTTTCTATATAGTGCTTCGAATTAACCAGCTAATGGGTCCTTAGTGATGACTGAGTGACTCAACTGAAAGCAGAACAATGATAAGTGAAAGGGAGTTGTAGAGACACACATTCAGAAATGAAAAAAAAAAAAAAGTACCAAGCTAAAAACAGAAGTAAATTACATGTTTAGTTAACAAACATGGGCATGTGGGGTGTTTATGAGCAGAGAAGAGACTGATCAGTGTAATCTAAGAAGGGCACAAGATGGAGGTATGAATAACTTCTCCAAAAAACCAATAGAATTTCTTTAAATCCATCAGAGGTTTTGCAAAAGGCATATGGTAAAGAAGCCGTCCATCCATTCTCTTCTTTTGATTCTTTTTATGTGACATTCACTTATTATTTATGACTGTGCTTAAGGAAGCCATCTGGTAAAGTTAGTCGTAAACTATCTGCTCCTCTCTGTTTTTTTGTTGAGTTCTTAGTCATTGCATTACATTTTACACAGTCCTTGGCTCATGCATACATTCCACAGACTACCTTCTTTATGAGGTCAGAATGAAGTGGGCCACAGGCTGAAGACCTGAAATTACCTTTATTGGTATTTAATTGTGGGTTCCCATCTCATCTAACATCCTGCTGCCAGGTGTGGTAGAGAGTGACAGCACCTCAGAAGCTATGGTAACATCTCTAGCAGTAAATCTTGATCATATTTATGCATCTTATATTTCTGTCATTACTGTATTTCCAAAGTGTCCTTTTCATGCGGCCATTTTATTGCTCCCTTTGAGTTGCCAAAGTTCTCTGACTTCATCTCTCAGTGCCAAAAAAGGCATTATAGTCTTCTGTTGGTCTTATCATCTTCCAGAAAACAATAATGGCTTTTTTGTATGCCTTTAGTTAAATGGGTTCATTGTGCCAGCAAGACAGGAGTTAGGCATGTCTTTTAGTACAGACTTAAGTCTAACTAGAGAAGGTTTTGGCCTCCTCTATTCTCTATCCCGGGCTCAGCTTTAGAATTGATTTCCCCTGCTGTAGAGCATACATTTGGTGAATTTTATTTCTAGATATTAAATTCTTCTTAGGTTTACTTGTGTATATTTTCAAAATGTTAAGTAGTTACAAATTTGTTTTTGTTAGCCCTTTAAAAAGTGGCCCAGGATTGAAGTAATGAGATGAAACTGCTACAAACCGAAGGAGATATGACAATTTGAGGTGTCTTGGGAACTTCGTTTTAAGTCATTGCTATATTTACAGAATACTTCCACAGAAAACTTCCACAGAAACGCTTAGTTACTTCAGATGAGCTAGGATGGACCAAATAGCTGTAAACACTTTAAAAAATATTACTGGAAGAAAATTTCTATGTAATTTAAAGCTCATATATATAAACATTGCCTTTGAATATGTCAATTTCTATCTTCTCCTGTATTTGCCTTTATGAAATGCCATCTTTTATATTTAGTTCAGTTATTTGAATATTACTATGATATTCGGGGCAGTAGTAAATGAGACTGAGTTCCACCAAAATCTGCTCTTCCCTTTACCCATGAAAATAAAGTTGTGATTGAGTCAAAACCTCTGAACTAGGTCATATTTCTCAGCCTCTCTAGCAGTTAGACGGACAAGTTCTGGTTAACAGAATGTAAGCAGAAGTGATGTGTCTGGGTCTGGAAATTAAAACATTCAGCAAAACTCATTAAGACATTTTCTGCATGTGGCAGGGGTCCAGCTTCATTTGTATCCCAGAGGATAAGGGAGCAATTAGGTTGCAGGAATCTCTCTCTGCATGACTGCATATAGCTGATCTGTCCCACCCATCTGAGCTATTTACTTCAGCTCTGTTACACAAGAAAGACACTCATTTCTGTATTTGTTAAGCCACTGTATTTTGGGTCCTTTTTGTTACAGGAGCTCATCCTCAAATATAACAAACACAGTTGTAACCCTATTTTATCAGAAAATGATATGTGTTCGCTATGTTAAAGCTCATGTGTGCTTTTAAATTTTCAGTAGCAAATAGGCTTTGAAAATGTCACTTTTCTAATTGGAGCTAGAAACACAAGTGTATATTTTAACATTTTTACATTTATATGTAATATAAAGATTTCTCATTTACTATTAAGGTGTTGATGAGGGTATGAGGAATCTTGGAATTTCATAGTGTGAAATGTAATTGTTATGGTCTTTTTGGAGTTATTTAGTGGTATCTATTGAAAACAAAAAATTGTATCACTTTTTGGTTCTACTTAATGAAATCTGTCTTACAGAAATATTTGCACACATGTAAAAACTTGCATGTAAAAAGACATGAATTTCAAATACATTTTTGGAATAAAAAATATAAACAACGTAAGCACCTATCAATACAGTGATG